GCGTCTACACTTATTTTATGCGACAAACTTAATTTAAGCTCCAACTGTGCCTCGTGCAGCTTAATTTTAAGTAACCCGATGAGAACCGGTGTATTATACATGGTAAAGCTATCGGTACATTCAGCTACAGTGTAAATTTGTAGAAAGTAAAAAATAAATATAACTATTTCGAATCTAAAACGATACCATAATTATAAGCAATTCTTATAAAATTCTCTTAAAATTATTCTTATAATTCGTTATAAAAATTTGTGCCATTCAAATACTTCATATTTTGATGTTGAACATCACGAACTTAACGAATTCTATTGAAATGCAGATAAAAAGTACATAGATTAAGATATCATTTGAAAATATTTCATTAAAGTAATTCAAACAAAAAATGATTTGAAGGTTTTTCACTGAAATGCTGGAAAACAAAGATTGGAATCATTTGACGTAAATTTTGCGGAAGTACACTTTTATGTTTCAAAACTATGTTTTATGATTTCATTAATGGCTTCATATTTCCTGAAGAATTTTCCATTAACTAAGTGGTTATTACTATAACTGCCTTTTGACCATTATCTCGTTCTCTTTTCAGCAAAATCGCAATTTTGAAAGTAGCTTTTTATTTATTGGCTATTTCTGTTTTTACTGAAGATATTTCCGTATTTTTTACGATATAGTCAACCTTTTCTCTAATTAAGTTTTAAATTTTACGCGAGTTATTTATTAAAGTTAGTAAAATAAATATAATAAAATACATGCAGTTATATTATAATTTTTACAATTTTTAAATTTTTCAGGCGATTAGTCAATAACTTATGCAAAATTCTAGTTTTTTCGTTCACTATATATATATATAAATTTGTTTCCATATATTACATATGAGGTGTCATCAGAGACAAATATTGCTTTTGTTCATTTGCAACGCAGATGCGAATGTTCAACATCGACGAATAAAAGTACCGTGTAATTTAATTTAGTTTAATGTATTCTATAACTCGGAGATTTATAGCGGTAATATCTTCTTAATCAATGTCAGTAAAGTCTAACACAGATATTGCGTTAAAATCGATGCCCTAATCTTCGCTGAGATTCACAACGAATCATGTGGAATCCGGTTTCCCGGAAGGCTAAATCCCATTAGTTCCGTAGTCTAATTTCCATGTGGTTCCCAACGTTAATTCCAATTTGCATAGCCGTTTACGCAAAAGACGCATGACGTAAAGTGTATTAAAATCGATCGGAGAAAAAATATCAGCTAAATTGGTACTAAGCTTCATGTAGAATATTAAACGATACATTACATAAATCATTCTTCTGTACGTAATTATTTCACATTAATACATGTGATTAGCAAAAAATGGAAGCAAAGTTCTCACGTATTTTTCCACGCTGAACGCCAATTTGTAATCTGATCTTCTTCGTTACCCATAGCTTTCTCAATTTTATGTGATTCCATTGTTTCTTTAATAATTCCGACACATTTGCACGCATCCCCATTATTTAATATCGAAAATAAATATTAGGTTGTGCGAAAAGTTTCTTTCGTTTTATAAGGAAATAATAGACGCACAATGTTTTTTGTTTTATATTAGTTTATTGAATTATGCACGAACATAATAATAGAAATATAACGAAATGGATCATACCTGATTTCATAACATAATATAAAACAGAAATTGTTGTTCATCTATTATCACCTTATGAAGTGAAAGAAAGTTTTCGAACAACCTAATACATAGTATTTTTTTCACACAATAGTATCTACTAAACTCTAGATTCTACATAGTAGGAATATCAAGATCATTCCTACGCGTTTCCCCGACATTTTCACCGAGGAATGGAGCAACAACATTTTTCTTCCACCTAACTCGTTTCCGGCAAAGTTTCAGGCGTTAACATTTCGCGTATTCGTACTTGTGCACGTAGTTAAACACTCGCTTATCGTCGACGCTCAACTAGCACGCGGTAGAATGTATACACGAGACGATATGAATGCAGTTTGTACCGTGTGTTGTCCCGAGACTCGAGAGGTACACGTTAACAGGATACACAAACGTGTTAGCGCGCAACGGGCAAAGGTGACTAAGACAGTTTCATAGTTCTACGATCAGTTGGTTCAATTAAGAATATGTTATTAACCATTGTCAAAGGGCTCATTTGCGAAAGTTAATGGATCTGCCTATAATTTCGCGCTGAAACGGCAAATGACAAGCTTTCCGATATGTTTGCAACTTTGCTCCAGCGACGGTTCCTTTCCCGTTGACAAATTCGTAAGACTTCAGCGCGATTTCCAAATATTATCCGATAATCCGTACGTGATGCGTACTGTACGATGAAATTTAAGTGGATGGAAATTTTAGAAAGAATTTCTACTTGTGAGATTTTCGATTAATTTACAAAGAAGTATTCGAACAAGTATCAAGTATTCTCCAATCAAGCGTATTCATATCAGACTCTATGTGTCTCATTTTCATAGTATCAAATTTTTATAGCCATTTGAAAATATTAGGTTATTCGAAAAGTTCCTTTCGTTTTATAAGGAAATAATAGACGCACAGTGTTTTTTGTTTTATATTAGTTTAATGAATTATGCACGAACATAATAATAGAAATGCTACCAAATGGATCATGCATAATTCAAGAAAATAATATAAAACAGAAATTGTTGTTCATTCATTATCACCTTATGAAACGAAAGAAACTTTTCGGACAACCTAATACAAGCAAATAATATGGAATTTAATATTGGATTCAATTAAGCAGAAACATGTAAATGCTATCGTAAATACAATGATACATAAATATTTATGATGGCTACTGCATGTGGATAGTATTTATTTATTTTGAGGTAAATTAATGGAATGGAACCGATTGCAAAAACGACTGGAACTAAAAAAATGATCGCGTCACAACGCTTCTCCTATGTTATGATTAACAATTAAATCGAAACCAAGTACCAAGGTGATAATATCGGTAATCGGTGCGCAACATCAAACACAACGTTATAGGAAGTGGACTGACGAAAATCGAAACTGATCCCGTTCGGGCATATCGCATAATCAAACCACGGCCAATTGTTCGCCATTCCGTAATAACCCGCATATTCATCGAAATAACAATCTCGCATTGGCGGAAAGTTTCGTGGAAACTCGAGCTCGTTTACCACATTTTCGACAGGAATCCGTGGACGTTTCGAGCGTTCAACGATGAAACGAGGCGACACCGATTCGAGTGATGGAGGCGCGACGTGCAACAGCCAACGAGCCGATCACGTTTATCGATCGTTGATATTGATCGATCAGTCGTCGTCTCGAATTTCGCGGGCTGTTTGTAATTAAAAGGTTTTCCCCTGTTGGAACAACGCGAAATTAACGAGCTGTCGGGTTAATTAACTCGCAGCACGTTCTACCGATGATTATTGGATCTATAACCATCCGAGAACTTCGTTACGTTCGAATTTTCTGTCTGCATTTTTCATCCATTTTTTCAACTTTCGTGAAATGCTGATCATGTTTCGTAATTCTGTATTTACGGTTTTGCTTCCTATACTTAGTGAATTCCTCCGCTGTGTTATTGGAAAGTAGACGAGAATTTTGATAGAATTTCGAAGAATCTTTTAATAATAAATTTTCAACGCTTTCAGTTTTCTCGCCTTGCACAACATGAAAGGCTGTTATATCTATCTTCTGGCAATTTTTGTCCCTTACAGTTTTCTAGATAGCTTATCTCACCATCTTCTCGTAAAACGTTTCATTTTCGGTATTCCTCGATTTTTCCAGATAGTGCGAACGACCCACCTGAAGCTACCAAAAAATTTGAAACTCTCGTAACTAGACGAAATTGAACTTTTCTTCGTTCGTTTCTCGCTGCCTGCGTTCGTTCTTACGCGGCTCATAAATGAGACGTTCAAATTTCAGAAGATCGCTTCGGAAAACGGTCCGCCGGCCTTTATAGGCTACTAAAAACCTTGAGAAGCAGTAAAAAGGTTGTCGAAGAACAGCGTCTCTTCGTTCCATGGATTCTTCGGGAATCGTATGGGCATTTTCGATGGATGCTTGAAACGCGATAGAAAGAACCATGAAAATCCTGCTTATAATATAGTTATCATAGACTTTCTGCAGCACATTTTCTTTGAAATTCCTCGAACTTCATGGATACTACGTGTTCCGTATCGTAAAAATAAAACGACACTCAACACGCTTATTCTGGCTAAACTCTGAAATATTTATTGTATATAAAGTTTATGTATATATATATATATATATGCACAACTTGGAGTAAAAAATAATAAAACTCAAATATGTATAACACATGTATGTTTTTGTTCTATAACATATGTGGCGGTACTCGACTTGCCAACAGCTTCGCGACACAATCATAATGTCATCAAAGCATAAGGCCGGCATGCCTAATGTGCCATCGATATCCCTACGGTCCTCCCGCCGAATATTCGGAAGAACGCGTACGCGGCAACGATTCGGACGTTTAACGAACACGCGCATAGTGGGGATATCGAGCGGCAACAAAAGAAAAGAATCTGTCCAAAGATTCATTCGGTTTTGAATAGCGAAGTGCGAAGGGACAAGTGTAACAGCGAAGCAAACATAATCAAAAAGCGAGGGTTGTTGATTGTTGATTGTTAAAAAATTATATTGTTGAACATCGAGAGTATTTCTTGGGCACCTTACATCTAACACCACCTCACATATAACAATATTTCCAAAATTACTATTTACAATACTACTATTTACACGTTCTGCTCAAAAATTTTATTCAACAGGTTCTTTTGTATTCGAAGTGAAATAAATATATTAAAAAATAGATATATTAAAATATATTAAAAAGCGCTTTACATATGATGATAACCCACTGTAGAATCATAGGTGAACTTTGTTAGAATGTTACACGGTACAATTATGATCGATATATAATCCATATATAATCACGTCAGTGAATAAAATTTACGGTATTAAGAGCAATATGCTAAGCAATTTATATACGAGACTCACCATTAATAACGTGTACGTTGACGCTGGCCCTCTCTGCCACAGTGGGCACGCAACTGTAGTTCCCAGAGTCGCTTGGTTTTGCATGGGTGATCCTCAATCTGTAATAGAATGAAAAACTAACATTCGTTTCAAGCAAAATATTGCTCTCTATTATTCATTAAGCGCAACTTGTAACTTTATTAGTCTTATCTGACATTTACGATTACGTATTAATACATAGTAACCAGTATATGTATCCTGTAAAATTACTTGCTAGAAATTGCTTCCTTTTCCTTAATATATTATATTTATTGTGTACAGCTCGATACGCACTTTTATTGCGTGTGAGTGAAATAAATGTTTGAAAAAAGTTTCTGTAATAATATGATTAGAACTGATTACGTTGCAGTAGTATTTTCATATGATCACAGAAATCTGATAGCGCGGGAATGAAACGTGGAATCTGGTAAAAAGAATGCTTAATCGAAAATTAAGGGTATGTACAAACAGCATTTGCAGTCACCATAATTCTAAAAATAACACGAAATATCCTGCAATATCTCTTCTCAAACCACTCGTATCTAGTTCCAAATCAAGCAAACGATCAATCGCGTAATTTGACTGTCATTCGCTTCCGATGTAATTATCGCTCCAATACACAAAAACATGTCAGACGCATAAATTTGACCGAGCAATTGCATATGAATGATAGAAATGGCTTTAATTTCGTGAGTGGTCATCGATACGCGGTTCCGGCGCTGGGTTATACGTATATGAAATAATTGATGACGAAATTAACAATGAAGCATCGATGATCTAGCGGCTATTAATCGACGATAAATAGCGCTTGCGGTACGATTAATCCTCCTCCCTGTGTCCACTTCCTACCTCTCTAGTATGAAAAATACATGCGTTTCATGATTCAATTTCACGGGCCATTCATCAACTGAAAATTTAATTACTTCATAGTAATTCATTGCTATACGAACTACCGTAATTACTGTTAAAATCCACTGAGTATTTTTCCATCAAGTCAGAAATAAATCGTGAATCAAATACAAGTACTTCCTGCTTCTAAATGATAAACTTCGGTTGGCTAGATGCTTATGACTTGTGAACGATAGTACATTTGATTAATTTGAGCAGCGTGTTTCCGCCGCTGGTAGTCATTAGATCGTACACGACTGTTTTTTTTTAAATATAATTTCTCATCGAGGTTTACTTGCAAGAAATTTTTTTACTTCACATTTATAATTATCACCGTGAGAGGCCTGATGGTGTGGGTATTTCTCCATAAAAAGAATTAGCATGTATCGGACAAAAATTAAATACCGTGGAGCATTCTTCCGTTTCCTTGGAAGAGGAACAAACATAGATGAAAGTCGTTTTTGTTTTGCACAATGGTGAATTTAATAATATTATTGAAAGTAATAAACACAGCGATATACACAATCAGATATCCAGGTTTAAAAATGGATTTTTATTACATTCAATCCATCTTTTTTTAAATAATAGAAGGGAAATCAATTAACAAGGAAACATATTTCTGACGACAAGCATTTTATCAAGTATTTGTTGTCACATATGCACGTTTGATCTGATTGTTAGTAAAATACAGTGTGTAACAATTAATAAATATGAATCAGTGAACACTGACTAAAAAATGTATATCTATGTATAGTCAATGTATATCGAAAATCGTTTTATGGTATACAGAAAAGATAACAAGCAAACCCTATTTGCTTCGATATTTCACAATTTTTATTCAAAGAGTTAAAATTGTTTTAATGGAATATTGAGAATCAAACCAATTTGGAAATTAAGTATAATCGGACGGAATTTGCTTGTCCCGAAACCATAACTAGCTAACTAACCATTTGCCTTCGAGTACTGTTAATAGCATACTGAAAATTTTTTGATTTTTGAATTTTTAAGATCTTTCTATGTTTAGGCTCTTGGCCAAATATATATTTATATTTATAAACCGTGGACTTTATGGACTTCAAAACAGCATTCGAATGTTTTCGTTTCGTTATTCGTACTTAGGTGTGATAAATGTTGTGCAATTTGTTTACACGGTGAATTTTTCTTTAACTTTACGTACATTTAGTGACTATATATATGATAGTACGGACGCAATTTGTTTCAACAAATCGCAATCTATCGTACAATTTTTACATGATGAATTATTTTCTACCACGGCATTCGGATATTTTCGTCATTTGCTGTACACGTTAAATTAAATTACATTTTGCGGTGTCACATAGCATGAGCAGGCAACAATATAAGTGAAAATCATTATACAACGGTTGTCAGAAACAGCGGAGCGTCATAGACAAGTTCGTCGTAAAATAAATCCAACGATCATGTTCACCTAAGTGTAGTTTCCCAATGGTAGCGTTGTACATCATTCTTTTCAGGCTCGTAATAATAATAGCCCAAAACACTTCCCTGACGCAACATAATACCTTGGTGCGCATTGACGTTAAGGGAGCAGTATGTCGGTTGTAAGTAAAATAAATAGTCCCTTTGGGAAAGCATTTTCGTATTTTCGTATCTCCTTCTAACTAATACGATTGAGAAATCGTGGATCAGTCGCGAAATTTGAAGTGTTAACAACGTTTATTGCATTAGATTGTTTAAAAGATTCATCGCGTTTTTGTTATAAATTTCTATCAAACAACGAAACGTTCGAACAAATACTGTTCTTTGTTGGGTACCAAAGAGAATTAAAAAGAGACAAATGAAAAGAGTATTCAAAATGCCGAATTCTTTAATAAAAACAGCTTTATCTCTTTCTTTCACAGACATGAAACGCTCGAATGTAATTCGAGTAGCCTTTCGAACAACAGCAAATAATTCCATGTTAAATGCACAGTGCGGTAGTCGGATTATAGGACGATGGAACTTGTAAAGAAATTTCGGCAACTTGCTTCCAATAGATTATCGATTAATCATTTACTTGCTGCATTTTACTACTCAGTTTCATCGTGTAGTATAGTAACATATCGCACCCTCGAGGCCAATAACGGCCGTTTAAAAGTTGCCTAACAGCGTCCCAGTTGTAGTTGCTGCAACCGAAGAGGCCTTAAGAAATAATTATCTTAATGCTTCAGGGACCAAACTGTATCTAGTCTTGATAAACTCCCTCAAGTAATGGAGAAGAATTACACGGCAAGATACGTATTAATGCCGGACTTCTATTTCTGTTCGCGTTTGTATTTTATGAACAATAACGTTATTCGCTTTTTGTCATTGTTACTATCATAGGAATGATAGAATTTTTATTAAGCCAGTGAAACGTGTTTGAAACCAGAGCAATAGAAAGCAATAAGGATATATGTAGTTCAGAGTGTTACAGATATGAGAATGCCTGAGGTCATGGTGTGAATGAAGAGTGTACAGCCATCCATGGGTTTGGGTAGACATGTCTGGATGTCTCCTAGGAATGTCGCCTGGAAATGTCTGCACCGAGTGAAAAAGATAGGGAAATAGAGAGAATAAAAAAAGAGGAGGAGGGAGAAAGAAAGAGCTTTCGAGAAAGTATATTGGATGGTTTGATCGAACATATCAAGGGCTAGGTATGAATTTTAAATTATATAATAATCAGAAATAATAGATAAAAATAAATTATATAATAATAGAAATAATAAAAAGAATAAAATATAAAGGAAAGTTGTGCAGTACCGACCGTTATACTTTTTTGCATAAGATTATTTCTATCTATCTAATAATAGACAAATAAGGTATCGTAGATACAAACTTAGAAGATACAGATTTCGTCTGCGATTTTGTAAAGAAAAACCGGAAGACCGCTCTCAACTGATGCATTAATCCAAACGATGCGCACGAAAATCTTCTCTTGCCAAAGAGAATCCGCCGAATACGAGAGTCAGAAACTCTTTTATCCGGGACCATAACTTTTCCTCTGTTCGTGTGTATTACGTCTTAGCGGTACAACGTGTCTCAGCACGTGGTATGATTCCAGTCGGTCCTCAGATGATAGAGGAAACAGGGTAGTCCTTTGTCAGGCAGCCTGTGCACCGTGAAGACGCATCGGGCATGCTCTGCATTTCTAGCCGACCCTTGTAAGCCCTGGCGCTTGTGTGTCGCGGGAATATTGCAGTCAGGCTGCGTCTGTTTTTGGACGTGATTGACGATTGTCAGGCTGGCGTTTCACGTCGATGAATTTACGACGAGGATCACCCTGCAGCCGACCTCCACCAGAGCCATGGCCTCAAGAAGCAGGAATTAATTGTCTAGTGGCTGACATTGCGTGCGACGCGTTCTTCCTGTCTCGGGCAAACCAGATTCCCTGTGTCGAATTGTCACCCAGATATTTACACGTCTAACGTGGCGGCTACGAGTTGATCAACGAGTATAATTTTGACGGATGGCGTCGAAGCTAACGCCACAGATCAGCTTCGAAATACCGACTCTGTAAAACTGTAATTTATGGGTTCAATGTGCTTACCGATAATTTCAGTTCTACTGAAAACGAGTTCGTATTTGGATATTATTTCTCAGTGACGCATCCCTAATTTTTAGTCCAAATTTTTTAATGAATATTTATAAAATAGTTAAGAAGAAACGGATTTCCATATGATAATCAGAGTAACGCGTGTTCGTAGTAATTAAGGTTCTACTGTATATACTGTATGTAGAACATTTAGACTATATAGACAAGTCAGTGCTGAATCTTTATTATTCGAACTACGGTTGAGCACAATTTCAATAATATACATTCAAATATTCTTACAATAAATATATTCATAGTGAATATGGATAATATATTGACGTATGTAATTATTGTTTGCACGCAAAATAAATTTTATTTGTCAAAGGAGAAGCAATTGAAATTCTAACAGTTATATTCTGTTGTTCGAACTAACAAGAAGAGATGGAAGGGACCTGTTCAGATAAACGAGTTCTGCTGTACTGTCCTTCTCCGTAGTTAACCGGAATAGATTTGAAGGTAGCTATTGCGTCTCGTATGATGAATATACTTGTTTCGCTTTTGAAAGTTGGCGCAAGTGATTAGTTTACTTGATTCGTATACGAATGTGTTAAATAATGACTGTAGTTTCGATAAGTGAATTTAGATGTACGGTCAGGTAGATTCGGTTCAGTGCAGCGAATATAGTTGTTTTGTTCTAGTTTTGAGATTGAAAGCTTATCTATGTTTAGGTTATGCGTTCAACCAGTTAATCTATTGATCAATATCTGAGCAATGTTGCTGAGTTCGGACTAGGATACAGATTGTTTTTGGCGTCAGTGACGCATATCCTTTTGATTTTGAAACCAGCTACCACTAGCAAGAAAGTGCATCTTCGATTTATCTATTTATCATGATAATGATTAATAATCCAACGAATTTTCATTATACTATCTTCTATCTCAAATTCAATACGAAGATTGATTTATTAAAAATTCGATTAAATTTATATTCCAACTGTTGGAATACAACGATATTAATCGCATACAGATGAGGTGATTGATCGAACGGATTCTTCCCTTCGTTGCCCAGCGATATCCCCACTAGCGTACGTTTTTAGATGTACCGCGGCGGCTGGCGCGTGCATGCTCTTCCGAGAATTCGGCGGAAGAAGCATAAAGATATGGATGGAACATTGGGCACGACGGTGTCGTGCCTTGACGGCG